GTTATTTTGGTTTGTCTCATAAAATGAAACCAATTAATAATTATATATATATATATATATATATATATATATATATATTCTTAGGACCACAGCTTATTTTGTTCATATTCAATAACCTGTCAATATTCAATAGGTCAATAGTTTATACTTAATTTGTTATCGATTGTAGTCCTAGCTATAAACAAGTGTTCAAGTCCTAAGGCGGTACAATTGACAATAGACAGTCTGAGTCCGTCGTCACTAAGCTGAGTGCTGCCTGCTCCAACACTGCCCATTGCAGCTCTACTGTGAAGAGACGTACTTTTCTCGTCGTGCTCACCGCTGCCCATTTGCTGCTTTAATTATATGAGCGCTTATATTGAACCTACGTTCAGTCGCTGAAGAAAGATTGGAGTGCCCGCGGTTCGTCCATATCTACGACCGTTACCTACTTGCGATCACGTTAAGTTGTTCAATTTTTAATGTTTTGTTTTCGTTAGTTTTGTATAATTCCTACATTAGAGTTAATATATATTTGTTAATTTTTCCGTAATCAAACATCCAACTATTTTATTAGATCTTTCATAATTATCATTAACATTGTTTACAGCTTATCGTTATTTTCATTTTAGAAATTATTACTTCAATTTATCTATTGATATCAGTGTAAATTTGATTTCATTTTATTTTATGTTTTCATTATTAGTAGGTGTAAATGTTTCAAAATACAGTCCACTTTCTTTTAAATTACAATCAACTTAATTTGAATAATAGGCAGGCTTCATTCGAAGTTGATTTAAACTAAGAGGGAGCTTAACACACTCCATATGATCAGTGCCTTCAACATTTCGCAGTCATAATATTGTTAACAACTATTTATATTAATTTTAATTATTAAATAGAATTCGATGAAATTGATACTAAGTAATTTCTATACTGTTCTCCAAATTTTCTCGAAGTTCGGTTCAAATCGAATGCGCCGTTTTCAAACAAGGCATATCAAACAACACATAAACCTCGGTTAATTCGTCCAGACCAGCTGACTTGCCAATTGCTTCAAACAAATCTTTCTTGTTTATGAAATGATCTTCACCATGATAAATTGCATCGTCCCCTTAATACCATCCAAACTGCTCCAGCATTTGACCCACTTTTAGCAGCATCTTGAAATATTCTGTTCATTTGTCTACTATATATTCGTTTAGCCATATAATGGATACTGATCCTTGTTTTATTTTCCGAGATTTTGGCACTTTCTTTCTCGTTCGTTTAATGCATTTTCCAATTTTTTAGTTCATTTTCGCGTTTTTCCTCTTTTTGAGACCATATCCTAACAATCAGTTCCTGTTACCTAGAAGAACTTATAGCTTCGCCCTTTCCATCTTTCTATATGCAGAGAGAATAATGCATTCAGTATTAAAATTTCCTATTTTTTTATGGTATGGTCCAACTCCCGAACAAAATAACGGCAATAAACATTAATTTTTTTATTTGTGGTATATGCGTTTTACTCAAAACCCTGGCAACTATTCATTATATGTAGTTCAGATTTGGTATATATTATTTTAGTTTATAAAACAGGTATTAATATGACTCATTTCCTTGAACAATTTAAATTATCTCTAAGAATCAGTAAATACACATAACAAAGTGTTAAATTGCAAACGTTAAATAAAAAATTCAAGATATTCGGCTAACTATTTTTTTAATTAATTTTTATTATTATAATTATTTCATTTTTACAATAGAGGTCTTCCTTAATGACTTCAGTATAACTTAAATCTAAAGGAAGGAAATTAAGGGACTTAAATTTAAAAAAAGAATTTTTTGGACACTTAAATTATTGCATTATCATTTTTTCGTTAATACAATCAATATAATGTACCAAAAAAGTTATTACAGCACTATAACTAAGTCATTTATGAGTACTGAATGGTGTGGTAGAGGCTTTTAGGCACCTATCAGTATCGCTTTTCTGCCGCGTAAGTGCATTTTCTACGGAACTGCTTCAAATATTATAAAATGTAATCAGTGTTTTAGAAAGAGATATAATTCCCCGGATGTTTTATTTAATCACGTTCTGCGTTATTGTTGGCCGTTTAATTACAAATGAGGCTTGATTTTCAACTAAGCGCCTATTCCAGTGCCACTTTTCCTCTAATTAAGTGCATTTTCTAAATCTGCGATCACTGTTGGAAGATACAAAATCTTCGAATATAGCAAGGAACTAATGGAAACATTATTTGGGGAAGAAATATGTAATAGACAGACAGATGAAGATAGTAGCACTATATATGAGAACCGCATGAGGTGGCAGGGGACTGGAGGCGCCTACGCCAGTACTACTTTCCGGCTAATTACGTGCATATTCTAAAGAATAGTTTCAAATATAATAAAAATTAATCAGTGATTAAGAAATGTAAATGTATTTTATAGTTTTTTTTTATTTTATAGTTTTAATTTGAACGACTTAAAAACATTGATTTTACGGGCATGTTTTATTGTAAAGGCCAACTATTTAAAAAAAAAAGTTTATATTTTATTATTGTCTGACTATCTCATTTTAATAAAAGGCAAATATCTCAGTGACTGAAAAACTAATTCAAGTCAAAATCATGTTTTGGAAAGTGCGACCATAGTTTTTTGTTGGAACACTGGCTTTTTTTAAAAATATATAGTTACAAGGAACACAACGATATGGAATTTATAGTGATGTGGGTGCAGGGTGCACGGGAGAGGCACCTGGCCCACGGACTACCCTCTTCCACCAAATCTTCTCTCCTCCCCTCCATCACCACTCCTTGTAAATATTAAAATGAATAAATATTTTCATAACTGACTCATATCAGACAGGTTATTGAAGATAAATTACAATCGAATATGATCTAACATGAAAAATAACTTTAATGGGAAATAAAATTTGCCAAACTTTTAAAATCTGTATCTCGTATACTATTTGATTTACCGAGCCGGTTCTGGTCCTTTAACTGTTTAATATTTAATCTAGTATAAAAATGTATAGAATATTATTTTTCGAAAATATGCTCCTTCGTGTTCAAAATAAAGAAAAACCAAAACAAGTGCGAAAATATAGCAGTTTTTGGGATTTTCAAAAGTGATCTGGGAGGGGGGGGGGTCTAGATCGGGAACTAGGAGCTGGAATCTCAGTAAGATCCCATACAAGAAAATAAAAATCTAGCCCATTCTATGCAACTTACAATGTATGAGGTTACAGGGCTATTCATTCTATGGTGATAAAAATGTATGAAACATTTTTATGGGGACCCATCGGATGACCCAAAAAATCTGAGACAGTAAACTAATACAAAACAATTATTTGTGGGGCCCAACATACCACGGTACTATGTAAGTAAAAAACAATGACCCAATGTAACAATGAATGGGGATTTTTTAATTCCACAGTATTCCCATAAAGAGCGACTCTTAAACACTTAATGGACCATTATATCAAAGAAGTCCGAAAAAAAACCCCCAAAAACTCAATGCGTGATTGTGTAATAATTAATTTTACAGTATTATAAAATACATTGTTAACAAAAGAACTCCCTACAGCATAATAAAGTTCCTTATATCGCAGAAATCCGATAAAGGACAAAAATTCGATGCGCTTATCAGCAATCTTCAATTCGACTGTATTTATATAAACAAAAAACGCACCTGAATACCTCACAATGGAACACATAATAGTGGATCCTTATCTCAAAGAAATCCGAAAAGTTACATAAACTCGATGCGCAATCTTAAATAAGACTCTATTCTTATAAAAAAACGCCTCCAACAAAGTAGCAATGGATCCTTATATCCTAGAAATCCTCGAATAAACGAATACAAAACAATTATTTTTGGAGTACTAGAAAAATATAGAATAATGATTTCGGCTCCCTCTGGGGGCCCTCGGCGATCGCCGACTAGCCGACATTTCGCCGACTGATTTAGACATTTCACAAACTATGGAAAACAAAATTATCTAACTTATATAACAGCGACATTAGCGCTAAGCCAAACTTTTTTTTATTTCTCTTGTTACCGACAGCAGCTGGAAAACATCAAAAACAATAAACAAAAACACATCGGAAAAACACACACAAGTATAGGAAAACAACCATTTAGATAATTGTTTTTCTCATGGTTTTTCAAATGTCTAAACGCTCCTTCAGGTTTTTCGTTATGATTTTGGAGTGGAGGGACTTTTTATTCTTTATTTTATTTGTTTTTAAATAACGATAATTATCCTGCAATAGAAAAAAAAGAAATTATATATACTGATGTCTAAGTGGTCCATGAAGACCTATTAAAAAAAAGTTAGTTATAGGAACAAAATTGCTTTTAGAACACATTTTTTACTTTTTCTTTGTTAACAGGTGCTTCCATTTCCATTTATTAGCTGTATATAAGTTGTAATTTAAAAAAGTGAATATATTGTAAATCTTTAGGCATTTAGCTTATATTTCTCCCATAAACAAATATGAACCATTAAAATTATTTTGGTGGAGGGACTTGAGCCTGAAGTTCCATCCCTAGTTCTTCCCAGTGCATTACATAGACATTCTCATTCGCTTCTCTGTGAAACTGCTAGTGCCTTACATAGCCGTTTTCATTCATCTCCCTGTAAAATTGTTGGCCTTGAAACATTACTTCCATACAAAGCACTGAATCTAAGACCCTCCTAAGGATTTAGTGGAACAGGTTTTTATTTATTATAAAGTTATGTATTACAAATTTGCTTTATATCTGTGTTGTGGTTTGTCCCATTTATTGAAAAAACATATGCATTTATACTTTTGGTATTTATTGACTATTTTAAACATTATCCAAATATTGGTAGTATCAGGATATGATATAATATTTCAAGGTGAGGTATATGATTGATTTATTATAATTTTTCTCTTAATATTATAACATTAAATGGTCAATATAAATAATTAACAAATAATAATAAATAATTATTGTAAAGAATAATACATTGCAATATATATATATATATATATATATAATTTATTTGTGTGAGTATACATATAACAACACAAGTGTTGTTTTTATAGTTTGACACCTCAAAGCCCAGAGAAACTATTCAATGAATACTTTTCATTATCACATACTAATAAGAATCAAGTTTGGAAATTTGAAACTACTTCATGGAAAAGCATAAGTAACCGAGCTATTCATGACAATTAGCAGACATGTATAGTTAAGATACAAAACAAATTTTTGGTACTGAATTTAAAATACATTCTAAAATTTTTATCAGTTTTCTATAATAATAATAACCTTATAGTGTTACGACTTATTGGTTCAAATAGTCAGGAATTGTTTTCATTAAAGATATAACAAACACAACTGCTATCAGTCTACCTCCTTTGCTGACAAATTCCTTTAAGATTTATTTTAATTTGTCAGAAAATGGATATAGACTGCTATACTTTCACAAGATTTCCATGAGGTGTAACTATTGTAATTAGAGTTTTTAGAGTTGAAGATAATGTCACTGCCATCAACTTTCCATTGCTAAAGAAATAAAGAAACTCCCAGTAGATTTTTAGAGTTCAATGGGATGTCAATTTATTGTATAAAGGAGATGATACATTTTCCTTTTTGCTTCAAATACCATAATGTTCCAAATATGAAATTTGATGTAAGTCATTTTACTTGAATATGCATACTTTTTATGAATGTTTAGGTACATGAAACAGTTATTTAATACTCATCACAATGATAATAAATAATGATAAATAATAGGAAACTCCAACAGCAAGAGATTGCTAATTAAAATGACCGACTGTGGGCAAAATGGTATACAATATAAACAGATCCCAAATTTTTAGATGGATGGATGCAAATGGATAATTTCATTGCATTTATTTTTATACATATGTTTGAACATCTTCACAAATCAGTGTAATCAGAGGCAACTAACCATATTTTATTTTGCATTATTTATGACAAATGAATATAATAGGACATTTTGATGATTCCAACTAAAATAAAAAAAGAGAATAAAAAATTAATAAAATTAAAGTGTATTAAGAAGATAAAATTCCTAATTAAAATCATGCATTTATTTCCAATGAACAAAATAATAAATTAACGAAATTAGCTGGTCACTACCTTCGATGATTGACATCTTTGAATATAGCATTTTTCATTTCATTACTTATCACCTCATCTGCTTGTTTCTTTTAAATACCCCACTCAGATTGGAGCTTTATAAGCAGTAAACATTTATATTATTTAAAATATCAGAATTCATGTCTTTTTTTTTAAATTGAATTCTTGGATGGATCCTTACAATATCAAAGATGAAAAGTCATTTTTTGTTATTGTTGAAAACCATTAGCCAATAGGTAATTTTAAGCACATATAAATTTTTCATCATCTAATTTTGTCATTATATGTTTCAATTATTTTCATATTCATTTGTGTTTTATTTATTTGATATTGTTAATTAGTTGTCCTTTTTAAATAGAAATATTGTTGTTTTTGTATTATTACATATTGTAAGACTGTATTATTTTCATAATTTTAAAAAGTGTTTTGTATTACCCTTTTTTTTACTTTCACTTACCTATATATGTAATATACAGTAAGTGTAAGTATTGTGAACGTGAAAATTTTTGAATCTGAGTTCTCAACGGAAATACACGTTTTGAGGTCCCCTGAGTCCAAATAACCAAGTCCCGAAAAATGGTCTGTGTGTCTGTGTGTTTGTATGTTAGCAGCACTAGCGGATCCAGGATTTAATTTTGGGGGGGGGGCTCGAATTATCTTTAAGAAAGGAGATAACTTTGTTGAGCGTACCAAGTAAGATTTAATCTAAGATCTTGGAATAGAGAATAAGAAGAAGAATCGAAGGATTACTTGAAGAAGAACAATACGGATTTCGAGAAAATCGTAGCATCCAGGATCCTATCTTTACCATGTGACAAGTTTTCGAAAAAGTATTTTAGAGAGAAAAGGAAATGTCGGTGTGCTTTGTTGATCTTACAAAGGCCAAAGGCCTTCGATCGGGTGAGAAAGTCGGATATCTTGGAGGCCTTGAGAGAAAAAGGGATTGACCAAGGTCATGTCCTGGCGGTTAAGAAAGGTTTTCTAAACAGGCGTGAGGTGGAAAAGAAAGCAGAAGTAGCTGTTTTCAGATCGAAATTTCTTCCCATTTTAACGTACTCTTCAGAAACATGGACGCTGACAAAGAAACATCAATCAAGGATACAAGCGTCAGAAATGCGATTCCTCCGAAAGATTGAGGGGAAACGAGAAGAGACAGAGCACGCAACACCACCATCAGGTCGAACCTCAATATTATGCCGGGCAATGATGTGATTGAGGAGAATCGACTGAGATGGCTAGGACATCTTCTGCGGATGGAACCAAACAATAGCTAGCGAAACCTATGGAGCTAAAGTAGACGGCAAGAGAGGAAGAGGACGGTCTAGAAGGAAATGGGAAGATGAGGTAAAGAGCGATTTCCAGAGAAGAGATCTTCAATGGAACGATAGAAGGCGTCTTGTGGAGGACCGGCAGAGCTGGAAAAGGCTCTATAAACTTCCTCCTCACACTGCTTAATGCGGTTCAAGAGGATGGATTATGATGATGATGATAAAAACAACGATAATTACTATGGAAAAAAATAATGAAACTAACTGCCTATATGAAATGGTGTTTAAGTGATTACTAAAGTCCTTTCAAATGTAATTACACGAACAATAATATTGAAGAGATAATTTTTTAATATTTTTTTTCCATAAAAAATGGTTATATTTTACCATTTTTGGGGGAGGGGAGTCTTCAGCAGAAATTATCACAGAAAATATATCTCCTATTTGTTTAGGAGAGGTGAACAGCCAGTGTACATATTAATTATTTTTTTAATTTGTATAGTTGAATTATATTTAGATTTTTTTTTTTTAGAATATAAGGTATTCATAATTTTAAATCTGAACCATGTATATAAAATTTTAAATATGAGTTTAATTTATTAAATAATGTGCATAATAAAATATATTTATCTTTTTTTTTTTTACTTTCACTTACGTATATATATAATATATATTAAGGGTAAGTATTGCGATCGAGAAATTTTTTTCTTTTACTTATCTAGTCAAACAAGTTTTTGAGTTAATGTTTTATTCGTTTATGAAATGTATCTACATCACTATTTTCTTGAATTAAAAAGTACAGATATTTCTAGTAGCTCATACATTGTTTACATTCAAAAACAAAATATCCTCAATTATTAAAAAATATCATCAATTGGATAATTCAGAAGCCAATCAGTGAACTATAAAAAAGAAATAGCTAGATGTTTAAAAGGTCATTAATACCAGTGAAACGGCTATGAGAGAAGCGCTGTGACCTACAAGAGTCCTGCTTTTCCCTCCAGAAGTGAGGGGACTTGAAGTTCTCCTGAATAAATGTTTGTAAATATTGTATATATGTGATTCTAATTCGTTTTTTTAATTAGTTTTTTGATTTGTACTTTCACTTACCTATATATGAAATGTATAGTAAAAGAAAGTATTGCGATCATGAAAAAATTCGAATCTCAGTTTTCAACGGAAATACATGTTTTGAGGTCCCCTGAGTCGAAATAACCAAGTCTCGCAAAATGGTCTGTGTGTGCGCGTGTGTTAACAGTCCAGCTCAAAAACGAAAAGTCGTAAGAAACTGATATTACGAATTTAAGATAGGTATATGCTATAGATGTGACAGGAACTTTTTCCTTAAAATCGGCTAACTGGAAGTGCCACTTTATATCAACGCTGAAACATATTTTTACAATTTTCTCAAAAACGGCTCTAACGATTTTGATTAAACTCGGTGTATCATTGTATAATTATGTGTTCTTTAATATCAATCAGGTCTTATTCCCATTGATGTCACTTTACAGGGCTTAAATGCCATGTTCATACATGTCTTCCTCTAAAGTATCTTTAATATGATTTATTTAAAAAAATCAATCATTTCAAGTTATTCAAAGTTACAAAAAAATGCTAAATATAAGTTTTGATAATTAAATAAAGTCGAAAATAAATAAAGGAGAAAAAAAAATGCCTATCCAAGTCGAAAATGAATCTCCGGAAATACCAGTCAGAAGGTATACGTGTAATATACCGTTGGAAAGCGAAGAATTTTAGAAAAAACAATATCTAATATAGAAATTTGTACGAGAATGGCGAAAACATTATAAATAATAATGTCAAAAACTAACATTATTTAACTTAAAACACATGTTTCCAAGGAAATTAAATGGAAATGTCTTACTATATGTAAACTTTTAAATGTTTTTCTTTAAGATTGAAAAGAAAGTATTTAAAATCCACCGAATCAAACCAATGCCATTGTTCAAAATACTATTGTACTTGTGTGAAAGAAGAAGTGAAATATAAAAATATTTCATGTATATGTTTATAACCTCAAATATATTTACTATAGAGTATTAACTCTAGATAAGATATTATATTTAAATAATTACGTATCTATCGGCTGTTTATTCCAAAAAATCATCAAGCAACATTTAGAAAATTAAATTAGTAATAATTTGATGATTTTTCCCTTTGTGAAATCCCAACATTATCCACTTACAATTAGTGTGACAACTTTTGACCAATCCATGGCAAGGCAATGAAAATCTCGTAATTTTGTTTTAGTAAACTTTACAATGGAAAATAACAGGTTAATAACTAATAGTCCTAGGATCCATAATCATTTCTAGGTTAAATATTCAGATATACTTTCAAACCTCTGTAGGTATATATGAGCCTTTCGGTTGACAGAATGACTAACTCCAATTTCAACATTCTTTATTATTAATTTTAGTGATGTTTCAGATTTACCAAATGCTTCCTTCTGTAATGAGTTTGTAATGCCCAATCTGGTAACTGAGTTTTGTTTTCATAGAGAATGCTTTTTTGTACTATAAGCTCTATTTCTGATCTACAAACTGAAGTTTGTTAGATATTGAGATAGTACGCCTCCTGGTGCCTTAAATGATTATAATGCATGTCTATGTAATAAAAAATATAAGACATTTTCCACCAAATAAGTTGCTCACTTAGGAAAATTCATACATATTATTTTCTTTTAAATGATATTTTTACTAACTTTTATGTTTTTGTTGATAAGGTTGGTATAAATGAGGAGTGAATTTTATTTGGTATTAGCATTATACATCTACCTACATTTTTTATAAAGAGTTTTAAAATGGCAACATTATGCAGATGTGTCATCATTTGTTTGGCTGATATAATCTTTATATAGATTAATTTGACTTCTAATTTGACTGCTCAATGGTGGTATGTATCCTCGAGGAAGTAAATAAGAAGAGAGATTGAAGAGATCCAAGAAAACTTTATAGCGGTCGCTGAAAAAAAAAAAAAAAAAAAAAAATGAAAATGCATAGCTAATAAATGTACTTGATTTTATAAATGTTCACAATGAAAGAAAAAAAAATGTAAAATTTGAGATATACTGTTTTGAAGATAGAGATGATGGTCTGAAATGTAAATTATATTTTATAGAAAGGAGACTGTGGCAGAGTTTCGGATGATAACAGGCCACGACTACCTTAGGAAGCACCTGCCTAGAATAGGAGTGACAGACTCTCCACATTGCAACCTATGTAATTCGGGAGCACACATGGACGCAGCGCATTTAGGTGTATGCTCGCGCTTGTTAAACGTAAAATACCACGTCGTCCAAATCGGAATGGTACTGGGCTGCAAGATCTCTGATGGTGGAAGCCGATAAAGAGAGGGATAATTAAAAAAAATATTAAATGGATAGTATATTTATGTATATGTATAGTATCCTTTATGTATATGTATAGTATATTTATGTATACGTATATCAGTCTGGCCAGAGACGGCGTACAGTTCACATCACTCCTGTGAAACTCGTTCATTTTTCACATAAACTAACTTATTTCTTAAAAATGTGTACAGTAATTTCTCACAATAGTATTTTTGTCTTTAATCCACCATAGTCGCGTCTTATATTTATTTACGAATCATTATACATAGAAGAAAGTTCGTTAACCAGCTGCGGCGGAGAGAGGAGAAGTAGCTAATTCCCTTAAGCTGGAGAGTATTAAAGGCCATCAACACGCCTAAGTTGATAAACAACACTTTTCTTACGTAAGTAATTTTTTTTTTTCTGTCAACAAAATGGTGCAGTGCTCAAACTTGTGACGGCCCTATCGTGAGAGACGATAAATATAATTTAAGCTGTAATAAATGCCGCGCAATATTTCACGGCAAATGTTGCAATTACAGTGAAAAGGAGATTGACGCTATAAAATTACAAAAAAAAAGCTTGGCTATGTAAAAATTGTGAGCAGGGCAAAAAGGCTGCCCCAGCTTGTGATAAGTTACCCAGTCCATCTAAGAGCGACACCAGAGAACCCTCCTCATCGGATATTCTCCTGGCCGTCAACAAGCTCGGTGAACAGGTAAATGAAGATATAAAAAATTTAAAAACGTCGCTTGAGAAGTATGGTGAACTCAGTTTCAAGTTGAATGAGAGGTTCCCAAAAATAGAAGGACACCTCGAAGCCCAAGCGAAACGCCTAGAAGAACTCTCCTCAGAAAATAAGATGCTGAAATCCAGAGTAGGTGAACTTGAGGTGCGTGTCAACAAAGCCGAGCAAGGTCTACTTCGTAGATCAATAGAAATTCGTGGCATCCCGGTACGCGCGGGAGAGACTCCATTGGCCTTGGTAGCCAGCGTGGGAGCCGGCCTCGGGGTTAAGATCAACCCAGAGGACCTCGACTTTGTGGAGCGACGGAGACCAAGAAAAGATGATCCCCGACCACCACCCGTCATTGCTCGTTTTGTGAGGCAGTCTGTACGCGACGACTTGGTGCAAAGAAGAAAGGTAAAAAGGAACTTTTCTACTAGGGATATTGGTTGGCAAGAAAACGACTCCCACCGAATATATCTCGGCGAAGAAATGTCTCCTATGAATAGACGTCTGTACTGGCTCGCCCGTCAGAAGAGAGCAGCAGGCAAATTAAAATACTTATGGTTTGCGGGGGGTAGAGTTCGTTGTAGAAAAGAAGATGGACACCCGGTGATCTACATCGATCAGCTACAAGATCTTGACATTTTCTGCTGACGGTTCGACATCCGTCAACTAGATGGTCATAATTGGGAAATGTTAAGCGTTACATACTATAAATCACTTTGCCGTATTATGTTACTGTTTTACCATTATTTTTTCTCCAGCACAACTGACGTAATCTTTTATTTTATCATGTCTAGTCTTTTTTATCATTGCTGCATATTATTATTATTATTTGTATTTAGCCATTACTTGCTTCTTTTTAAATGTTATTAATTATATTTCAGCTGCCTTTCATCATATTTCTCTATTTCCTATCCAACATGACTAGTATCCATGTCTTGTCATGTTAATTCCTCTTGTCATGTTAATTCACAATCCCTACCAGCCCATTTCGACGAATTTCAGCAATATTTCACCTGCAATTTTTATCATACTATTGCAGTTTCCGAAACATGGCTAAAACCCCACATATCTTCCTCTTCCGTTTCCTTACCCGATCACACCTTTATCCGCCATGACCGGATTACAAGAACGGGTGGTGGTGTGGGTCTTTACGTCCATAATAGCCTAAAATCCCGAACCCTAGATATCTCACCCCTTCCAAATGTCCCCACATGGAATACCTTTTTGTTGAAATTTCCTTTAAAGCCCATCTTCTCCTTTACGTTGTAGTATACCGCCCTCCTCTGGTACCTTTCGACCCATCCTTCGAATCAACCCTATACAAATTTATCCCATTTTACAGTAACATAATAGTTTCCGGTGACTTTAACGCCAATCTCCTTTCCGATTCAGGCAGGCGAAAACCAATTACTTTCATGAAGCCTTCTCCTCAGCTCCCGATTCTAAATCCAAATGGCATTTACTCCGAAAGCTATCTCTTTGCAAATCATCTTCTTCCATAGCTGTCTCAGTCTCTCCTGATGCCTTAAATTCCTACTTTTTATCCTCCTCCTCTAGTAATATTTCTCCCGCCTCTTCTTATATTCCTGTATCATCCGCATTTAATAGTGACAATTTTTATTTTTCCTACATCACTCCTACGAACCTTATTTCCTCCATAATGAAATCCCAATCCAATTCTACAGGAATTGACGAAATACCTGTCAAACTGTTAAAATTATGCCTCCCTGAAATCCTTCCAGTTCTTCTATTCATTTATAACTTTTCCCTTCAAAATTTAGTTTTTCCTACATCCTGGAAAAAAGTCTTAGTCCGTCCTATTAATAAAATCCCTAACCCCACCTCTCCTAAAGACTATCGTCCAATCTCCATCCTCTCAAATCTGTCAAAACCCCTCGAAAGAATAGTCCAATCCCAAATTTCCAATTATCTCGAAGAGTTCAAACTTTTAGATCCTCACCAATCTGGCTGAGTGGAGAAGCCTGGGCGAAAGCCAGATTTTTCGCCCAGGCTTCTCCACTCAATCCGCTTTAGCTAAAATTACAAATGACATACATTCTGCAATTGACGAAAGAAAACTGACTGTATTAATACTCCTGGACTTCTCCAAAGCATTCGACTCCTTAGACCATTCTATTCTCTTCAATAAATTAAAATCTCTATCCTTTTCCAATAGTTCTATCCAATGGTTCCAATCCTTTCTTTCTGACAGGACTCAAGCCGTTAGTATTCCGAATCAACCCTTATCTTCTTTCCTCACTTTGTCTCATGGAGTAGCCCAGGGTTCAAGCATTTCTCCTATCCTTTTTAATTCTTACATCAATGACCTTCCTAGTTCAATCCACCGTTGTTCATACCATCTATATGCTGATGACTCCCAAATTTATTTTTCCTTTCCGCCCACTGAGTTATTAGAAGCGTTTAAGAATATTCAGAGAGACCTAGATAGGATAAGTGCCTGGGCAAGCTTGAATAAATTAAAGTTGTATGCAACGAAAACTCAGGCCATTCTTATAGGTTCCAACTCCCTCCTTAGATCTATTTCCACCATCCTTCCTTGATTATTAATGACCAACCAATCTCCTTCACCTCCTCTGTAAAAAACTTAGGAATTACCATTGATCAAAACCTATCATGGAAACCCCATATTGCTCAAATCTCCAGAAGGTCTATTGGTACTCTTAAATTATTTCATCGTCCTCGTCAGCATCTCCCACAACCTATCCGCAGGCTCCTCGTTTCCTCATTGATTTTCCCCTACTTTGACTATGGCTGTGTGGTATACGGTGGCCTCTCGTTGGAGCTTGAGGACAGACTGAAGAGAATCATGAACTGTTTTTTAAGATTCGTCTTCGGCACTTCGAGATGGTCTCATGTGTCCCACCTATATGCCGAGTCACAGTGGCTCTTCCCCTCTTCCCGCCGCCTATACTTCCTTGGAAATTTCTTATACCAAACGATCAACTCCCAGCATCCTTCCTATATCAGTTGTCTCCTCCAGCCTAAACCCTTAGTCCACTCAATAAAAACGAGATCCCGTGTTTCTGACCTCCATATTCCATTCCACAGGACAAATACCTATGAACGTTCCTTCTTAGCCCGTTCCGTCTCCTACTGGAATTCTTTGCCACATAACATCCGTCATGCCTCTTCCCTATCAACTTTCAAATACTTCCTTTTCCAATATCTCCTTACATCCCAAACAGAAGATTTATCACCATAAATTTCATTTTATGAACTGAATTTGCGTGAAGTAAATAGTGGTGCCTACTGTTTAAATTTTAACATAAAACAGCAATGATCTTTGTCTCCTAGTTTGACTATATGTTCATATTTTATATCTTTGTCTTTATGTGTGCCCAATATGAGAATGTACGTATAAATAGTTCCTTTTAGTTATTTTTTTTTTCCATTACACCACAAGTATCGTAAGACTTTATTTTATCTTAGTGTCTGCATATTATTATATAAACCACTGTAGATATTATTTCATTTTGTATTAAGTTAGTTTTCTATTAGATAGCCTATTGTTTATAAATTGTATAGTTATGTATATATAAATATGTAATTTCTCTTCTTTTTTTTTTTCATCACAATTAAGTAATTTTGAGAAGATTTTATGTTCATTTGTATATATATTTTATTTTTTATTTTTTACTGGTTACAAATTTTTTAAATAGTGTATATGATATTAAAATTTTTAGAAGTTAGTTTTTGGCCAGATTTGTACTTTACTTTGTATTAACTCATCATTGTTATTCTAAAGGGACTTAGTCCCAGAATAAAGTTTAATTTTCTATTCTATTCTATTCTATATTATGTATGAACAAGTAAACAAAATGAAAAAAGTCTGGTTGACTTATATTTCATTTACATTAGTCCCGTAAACATAACAA